GTGGGGGTGTGAGGAAACGGGGTGTGGTGGTGGGGTAGAGCGCTTTGCTTCCTTCACCTGCGTTTTCCACTGAGAGGGTCAGCATTGTAACATTCCGGGGTCCTTTTGGAAGACACCCCCCCCCCAAACTTTGTGTGACTGGTTTAGATCTTTCTGTGCCTCGTGTGTTTGGCTGGAGACAGGGTCTCGTGTGTAAGCCCGTGCGGGTCTCTGGTTCACGATGTTGCAGCAGATGACCTTGAACTAACTGATCGCCATGTCTCCATCCCGCAGGAGTTGGAGTTGCAGGCGAATACCACTTCCCTGAGTTTCGACCCTTCCTCCCACTAAGATCAGAATAAACACTATTAATGTTACCTCAGTTTATTGAAGTACTAAGCAAAGGCAGGATGATAAGCAGGAATGTTGGCTCACACCTGCAATCCTGCCAGAAGAGGGACAGGCATAGAGACAAGGCTGCATTTTCATAATGCTCTGGGGATACCTTGGACAGAATCATAATCCAGGTAAAGCCAGAAGCTACTAGGGTTACATTTCTTTTCCCCTGTAAATGGGGTCTATTAAAATTACCAGAAAAATACACGTTTGCAGCTGAGGAGGGAGAAAGGACTTAAGCATTTGATTTGGTAATTCTGTTGAAATCTCTGTCTCTGTCTCTGTCTCTCTCTCTCTAAGAGAGAGAGAGAGCCTGTGCGTGCTGTGGCTCACAAGGGAAGGTCAAAAAGACCCTACCTCCATGCCCGGCAGCTCACCAACACCTGTGACTTCAGGTCCAGGGACTCTGACTCCCTCTTCTGACCTCCACAAGCTCCCGTACATGTGTGCATACCTGTATATCCATGCACACACATAAAAATAAATCTTAAAAATATCCTTTTTAAATTTTATTTCTATTCATGTACACGTCTGTGTATCCATGTGAAGTTCTGCCATGTGTGTGCAGGTGCCTCTTGAGGCCAGAAGTATGATCCCTGGAGCTGGAGTTGCAGACAGCCATGAGCTGCCTGATGTGTGTGCTGGGAACCAGGCTTGGGTCCTGTTAGAGGACGAAGTGCTCTTAAGTGCTGAACTATCATCTCTCCAGACCCTTCTTTTACTTTTTAAAGAGCATACATATTTCTTTTTTTTGTTTTTTCTTTCTCTCTCTTTTTTTAAAGCTTTATTTATTATGTATACATTATTATGCTTGCATGTGTCCCTGCAGGCCAGAAGAGGACACCAGATCCCATTACAGATGGTTGTGAGCCACCATGTGGTTGCTGGGAATTGAACTCAGGACTTCTGGAAGAATGGCCAGTGCTCTTAACCTCTGAGCTGTCTCTCCAGTCCCTGTTTGTTTGTTTTGAGATAGGGTTTTTCTATGTAGCCCTGGCTGGCCTGGAACTCTCTCTGTAGATGAGGCTGGTCCCAGACTCACAGAGATCTGCCTCCCAAGTGCTGGGATTACAGGTGTGCACCACCACTGCCTAGCTTTTTTTGGGGGGGCGCTGTTCGAGACAGGGTTTCTCTGTGGCTTTGGAGGCTGTCCTGGAACTAGCTCTTGTAGACCAGGCTGGTCTCCAATTCACAGAGATCTGCCTGCCTCTGCCTTCTAAGTGCTGGGATTAAAGTCTTGCCCTGCCTTCATTTTCTTAACTGTACTTAGGCTAGAGATTAAAACTAAAAGAGGTATTCCTCTCTTGGAGCCCATCCCATTCACTGAATTCTTTCTTCACTTATCCTTAATAAATCTGTTTGCACTGCTCATAGCTTGTCTACATTTCCTTATTCTTCTTCAGTGTGACACAACAAACTCAGGAACCACCAGGGTGGCTTTGGTGGCTGTTGATCATCTGCCACCCTAGCTCTGAGTTAAGTTCACCAGAAACCAAGATGGGCTCCTTTGCTTAGAGATAAAAAGAACCACCAACAAAAAGCTGCAGGTCACATCATCCCCAACCTTCTCACTTTTCCTTAATCCATTGTTCACTCTGAAAAAGAGAAAGAAAGAAAGAAAGGAGAAAAACAAGAAAGAAAAGACAAGCTTTCCTCGGTATGCAAACGTGGAATCAGGGAGAGAAGCACTGTGGCTGGATGGTCTGGTCCATGTGGATCTCTGGGTTTTGCTGTGTTTGGCTTTTGTTGTTTTGAGACAGGGTCTCACAATGTAACCTGGCTGGCTTGGAACTCCCAACATAAACCAGGCTGGCTTTGAACTCATAGATCTATCTGCCTCTGCCTCTGCCTCTGCCTCCCAGGTGCTGGGTAGGTGTCTGTTTTTGAGCACTTCCTTTCAGGGTTCCCCTTCTGTCATAGCCCGGAAGGTTTGTACAGCCCTGGAAAGACCAGGGTCACTGCTACAGAAGCTGGGGTTCCAAAGATGCTAATGTCCCTCCTCCTGTGACCTTAGCCATATGCAAACCTGTCCCCTTTTCCTCAGATGTAGTGCCTATGTCTCATTCTCTGTGTTTCTAATTTCCCTGACTCTATCTTCGTCTCCCCACATATTTTATATTACATTAAATAAGAAAACAATAGTAATTGTTACAGGTTCTGCTGCTCATTGGCTGTAAGCTATCTAAGAGTTTGAATCCTTCTTGTATTTGAATTTTTGGAGCTCAGGAGATGCTGAAATAATGAATTTAAACTGTTTCAGTCCTGAAGAGTGGAAAGCAGGGGCTGGAGATGTAGCTTATTTGGTAGAATGCTTGCCTAGTGTATACAAAGCCCTGGTTTGATCCCCCAAGTACATGAACATTTGGAAGGCAGAGGTAGGAGGCAGGAACATCTGATGATGTTCAAGGTCATCCTCAGCTACATAGAGAGTTTAAGGTTATCCTGGGCTACGTGAGACCCTGCTTCAAAAAAAGGGGGGGTTGGTGGTGGTGGATGCACTGGAGAGATGGCTCAGTGATTAAGAGCATTTGCTGCTCATGCAGACCCAGGTTCAATTCCCAGCACCCATATGATGTGTGATCCACTACTATCTGTAACTCAAGTTACAGGGGATCTGACACCCTCTTCTGACCTTGGGCACCAGGCATGAATGTGGCACACATACATACACACAGGTGAAACACACATATAAAATCTAAAAAGTTGTTTTGTTTTTAAAGAGGACAGCTGGGCATGGTAGCTTATGTCTATGACGCAGCAATTTTGTTTTGTCTTACATAGGGTTTCTCTGTCTAGCCCTAGCTGTCCTGGAATTTGCTTTTTAGACCAGGCTGGCCTCCAACTCACAGAGATCGTCCTGCCTCTGCCTACTGAGTGCTGGAATTAAAGCCATGCACCAACGCTGCCCAGCTCTTTTTTTTTTTTTTTTTTGAGACAAGGTCTCATGTAGTTCAGACTGGCCTTGTTGTGCTCACTAACTAGTTTACTGAGACTGGCTTCCTGTCTTTGCCTTCTACGTTCTGGGACCATGCATGGCAATGCCCAGCTTTGGTAAAACCATTTTGAAAAACAGTTTGATTTAAAAAAAGTTTTTGAAAGAGAGTCTGACACTGTAGCTGTGACTGGCCTGGAACTTGCTGTGTTTGTCAGGCTGGCCTTGAGCTCGCAGCTCCTCCTGTCTGTGCTTCCTGAATGCTGGAATTAAAGCTGTGAGCCACCAAATCAGCAAAAACATTAAGCTACCGTAAAACCCAATAAGCCCATTCCTATGTACATATCCCAAAGACATCAAAGCATATGTTCATACAAAAACCTGTATGTGAAAATTCATGGAAGCATTATTCATAACAGGCCCAGACAGCAAGCAACTGATATGTCCCCTGACTGGTAAATGGATA